GTATATATATATTTTTTTCGCTCGAAGTTGTCCGTCCTCGTTTTCCACAATTGCCTATATATATATATAAAATGGAGGATATTACATGGCCACGCGGAGATGCGAAATATAACCATAGCAACGGTGATCTTTTCACGCGTGAAGATAACATTTTATTTTCACGTGTGAAGGGGTCATGTTTTCGCGCGAAAGTTCACCTGGTATTTCATTGGTGTTTGTATAATAAATATATATCCTCTATTTATTTCTTAACTATTAAAAATTAAAATGTATAAATGATATATCTAACTTACCTGAACAGTTAATTGGTCCTCTAATTCGCGTGTCCGTTAACTCGTTACCATACTCATCAACACACCAACAGAATCCAGTGGAGCCATGGCACTGAGAAGCTTGGTAACCACCGTCCTCGCGGCACTGCGGAATAATCATTCCTGGCGGGGGCTTGGGAAAGGACGCTAAAATCTTGTCACGTTCTTTCTTGCACGGCGGTTCTTTCCCTTTTCAAGCACAACAAACATTAATGAAAACCCATTGAATGCGCAGTTCTACTTGGTAATGTACAAGTCAACTATCAACTAGACTTCGAACAGGTTCCCTAGTGGGGCATGAGGCGAACCAAACATCGGAAAGCCGATCGAGCCGAGTGTCTTCGCACGCTAAATACTTTCAAGGAAAATATCTAGTTGAAGGCGTGCACAGTTTGTCTACATGCCGAGAGCTTACTGTACTGCAAACCTTTTAGCACCCATAAGAAAACTGTCGGTCAGCTATTGAAAACTCCACGTTTTAATCTTGACCTTTACCTCAGAGTTCCACAGCGTCGTACAATTTTTCTTAGCCGTAATATGCGTTTCTACGCATCACATCTCAATCTACGTTCGCTTCGAAATTCTCTGAACTTTCTTACGAAACTTTCTTCGCGAACTTCGCGAACTAACTTACATACTATTTCTCAAAAGAGTAAAGTTGAACGTACTTATTCAAAAACAAAATGTCACGTGCACGCGAAACTTGTCACATCAGTCGGATTCTATTGATATTCTATTCGATGGATGCTCATTTGACTTGTCAATTATTCGAATTCACGCGTACGTGCTAGCAGGCGTTCTTTAAATATTTTCGGTCGACACGCATACAAAAGACACGACAACTATGTTAGCCTTTAATTCCGTGGATAACTGCATGTATATAAGTAGGATGCTAAGCTACGTTCCACTGCTGAAGTAAAAGAGAACCACTATCTAATCTTAATTGGTACAAGTGATAATCAGTCCAATAACAAATTTCAGTCGGAAACACCAAGGTTTGTGTTATGAAAAGAAGTCGACTGATCTTCTAAAGCGTATATATAATGGCGATCTTGAAGGTAATATGAACTTCCTTACCGCAGCTTGGTCTTCCCTTGATGCGACTTCCCTTCACTTCAAAGCCATACTCATCCACGCACCAGCAGTACCCTGATATCACATCACACTGGACTGGGTGATAACCTCCATCCGCCTTACAATCTGGCACGTGTATCCCGACAACAGGGACGTCTCTAACACCCAAGGCTCGACGTCGCTGAATTTGGCACGGGCTTAGCCAGCCTGAGAAAAAGATCAATCAAAATAAAGTGCCAGGAAAAAAAAAAAAAAAAAAAAAAAAAAGATTTGTTACTTTTGTTATTTTACCAGCCTTCACGCGTCTGACGTTGCTAATTTCACACGGTCAGTATTTTCAGGGGGCTACACATCTTCTGTAAATTATAATAGGTGTAGTTTTGTTTCAATTATCAGTTTTAATTATTAGGTGTCGTCTGTTTGACGAGCCGTTAGAATAAGAAATGGTCACTCTGAGCAATGTAGTTTTCTTTCCCATTATGGATAAACGAAGACTCAAGATTTCATCACAGGTTTGCATCGATACGTCCGAGTATTCTCTACTATCAGGCATCGTTATTACAAGTCTTTACGGTACGCTAGACAACTGGGAAGAACATGATGTCGCTGGATTTGACACGGGCTCAACCACAGTGTTCCGGATCTCTAACAGCGTTTCGTATCTCTAAAAATACCAATCTAATACTTAAGGTTAGTAGAATGTGTTAATTAGTAAAATTTTATTTGCACGCTAAGGCAAATGCTGCAAACTGACTGGCTGAGCTGTTAGCCATTAGGTTGTCTACAAAATGGCGACGTTTTCACGTTCCTCGAAGTTTCGGAGTAAGATTTAGAAACAATTTCCGAGAAAACAAAAGGAGTAACATTCACCGTTACTTGACTTTGAAATTTGCACTGATAAGCGCTCGTACCCAGTTTACAATTCAGTCAGCACGAAAGTTAAATAATTAGTTAATATGCAGAGAAATGATTGGAAATCTTTAGTGGAAATCTTATCGATTCGTTGTATGAGATAATAATTGACGGGGCCGAAGGCCGGGTCAACTATCACCTCACAGAAATCTTAAGGTAATTCCTCTGAAATAAAAGTGACAATAGATTTTTGTTCAAACTTTGTCCACTGAATATTTGTCATATGATAACTTCAATTTTGAAATAA